AAACTAAGACATAAAACTTAAACAATTATTGTAACTTAAAGGAGTGCACTTTCTGGGGCACCTGGGCGGCTCAGTGGGTTAAAGCCTCTGCCTTCGGCTCAGGTCATGATCCCAGGGTCCTGGTATCGAGCCCCGCATTGGGCTCTCTGCTCAGCGGGGAGCTTGCTTCCTCCTCTCTCTGCCTGCCTCTCTGCCTACCTGTGATCTCTGTCAAATAAATAAATAAAAGCTTTAAAAAAATTAAAATTAAAAATTAAAAAAAAAAAAGAGTGCTTTTTTTTTTGCTGTAACTGAGCTTCTGGGAATTCACTAGAACGGTATGGGAAGTCGGCCAAGGATGCAGCCCAGGGGGCTGGCCCAGGCAAGGCCTTTCACTGCTTTGAACTGTAACCAGATTTGTGGACGTTGCATGATTTGGGGTGCCTGGGTGAGGACTCCCAGTGAGCTCTAGGATGACGGGCCTTCAGAATTTGGGGCTCAAGCCCAACCTGGAAAGCAGCCACAGGAGTGCCTCGGTGATCGCTGCTGCCCACAGGGGCCACTGCTGCTCTTGTCTCCCCAACGCAATGGATTTACAGGCTGCAAAAGCATTTCACTGTATTTTGTTTTCCTCCAGATGCACTAGAGCTTTCTATGGACCAATTTTATGGACAGGAGGTTGAATCTAGAGGGAATATGCATCCCCTCCAAGGCCACAGAGGCTGCCACTACTCCCATGCCTGCTGGATGACTGGGTGAGGGAGACACTTGTGCCCGATGCTCTCAGACAGCACAAGGCCAGCTTCCTAGGCTCTGACAACTGCACGCCAGCCCTCACCTAACTGCTCTGAGGGGTGCTGACCTGCCGCTGTTCCCTTTGGACTGTGCTCCCCCCCCCCCCCCCCCCGATTGCAGGGACTGGCTCCATGTGCCCTGAGCCGGCACGGTGCCTGGCTTGGTTAGGAGCTCGGATGGTGTTTGAACGTGAGGACGGGCATCACCACCATCCTCTCCCCCTTCTGCATGTCCACACCCCTTCCGGCCTCCTAACCTCTCCTCCCCCATGATGCAGGAAGGGCAGCATGGCCTTCACTGCCTTATTTAATGTGTCCAAGCCTCCCTCCGCAGCTGTGCAATGGGAAAAATGGGGAGGGGTATCTTTTAGCCTAGACTTTGGCACCACATAGGCACTTAATGTCAGGAAATGTCTACGATGAGGATGATGCACTCTGGGACATGATTTGAGGTTATAAACTTACCTCAACGCTGGGGGGTCACCATCACCCTCTTTTGGCTCTGTGGGTTGTCTGCTTCTCCTCCACTCTCCCGCAATCCTTCAATCCCTGCAAATCCCGCAATCCTCACCCCACCTACCCCGAGCACCTGCAGCAGGCAACTTCCCGGGCTTTGGGAGTGTGGCTGGAGTCCAGGCGTCTTAGTCATGTGGGTGCTCAGGGACATTAGCCCCTGCTACGGCCACCGACACTGGCTCTCTTCCCTAGCTCCAGCCTTGGTGTCCCCTTCTAACAGGGTGGCTGCCCAGCCACCCCACAGGGACCGAGGCAGGGTTTAAAAGTGTGCTCGCTCCCACCATCTCTGAGGCTTTCCTTAGAAAATACCCAGAGGGTTCCTCCCCCAGGACAATACCATTATCCACGGGTCCAGAGGAAGCCTCCAGGAAGCCCCCACTTTCCATGGTCCCTGGCACCATCGGAGCACAAGTCTACAGGAGAGACATTGCCACCCTCGCCTGCCCCAAGGGACTGGCGACAGGACTAGTGCAGGGGATCCAGGTGCAGTCCCCCTTCTGCCTGCAAGTGGCCATGTGACCTTCGAACGTCTGATGGGGGAGCGCGGCTGGTTCAGTAGGTGGAGCATGTGACTCTTGCTCTTGGGGTTGTAGGTTCGAGCCCCTTACTGGCTGTAGAAATTACTTAAAAAATAAAATCTTAAGAGGAAAAAAAGGAACCTGTGACAGGCATAGAGGGAAAGAGCACTGAGGTGGGAGTGTTTGTCTGGATCCCCTGAGCAGAACTAGGGGGACGGCGGCCCTCTGGGCAGAGACAGCAGAGCCTTCATCTAGAGCTCTAAAGCTCTACTGGCCCACCTGGGAGGGTGGGTGTCGCCAGTCCTGGGTCCACTTCTTTCTGCAGCCCTCCTTCCAGCACTTTCTGCTGTCCAGCGTTTCCACCAGGTGTGGGTGGAGTGGGGGATGTTCCCGGGGTAGCGTGTGCGCGCATGTGTGGTGCATCCTTCAGTGAAGGGACTCCACGTGTCCCCGCACCCCGCTGGCCCAGCCCTGGCGGCGAGGTGGTCTTTAAGAACCAGAATCACTCCCCTGCACCCCTCCTTGACCCAGAGTACCCCCATATTTGCCCCACATGTGCACCTTTAAGACTTTGTAGCTGCTTTTATTATTAATATTATCTTTTCCTTTAAGCATCCCTTTAAGGGTGAAATGAAATCCAACCATTTACAGAGAAAATGATTTCAGAATGTACATATTGATTTTCCCTTACAAAAAAAATAATACTATTATCATTGGCGTCCTTAAATTATACATTTCCCAGGGCCCTGCCTTCTGCTTGGAGAAGTCCCGTCTCCCCTCCCCGCCTGCCACCTTTGGCCCCAAAGCTCTCCCAAGTCCGCCCCTATGAACCTGGCTCTGCAAGAGGACATGACCTGTGGGTGGGCAGAGCCTCCTGAGTCTAGAGGTCACAAGGAGAGACACCTGCTGACAGTGACAGGGTGAGCAGTATGCCCACACTCCCATTCACAGTTTGGTTTCCTTTCATACTGGGGTAGTGGCCCAGGGCTCCCCTGCCCCCCGAATTTCCCAGTGTATGATGTGCGTGTAAGTGAAACTCTTCAAACCCACGTCTTGCCCCCACCCACCCCTCTGATGGCTGCCCTCTCCGCCCAATGACCAGGTCTCCCCCTGGCAGTAACCATGAACATGTTCTGGGTCTGAGAGGGAAGGTGGGGCCTGGTAGGTCTGAGCTCCCCACCTTATCCTTCCCCTGCCCTGGAGCTGGTGAACTGGAAGCCAGGGACTCCTGCCAGCCTGGGGAGGGGGCATCCCCAGAGCAGCTGAGGGTGCCAGGGGCATGGATGAGGAAACCCACCCTGGGCTGGGGCTCAGGCCTGATTCAGGAGTCCCCCAAGACTGCCAGTCCAGGAGATGAGCAAAGGTGGCTAGGAAGGCAGGCCCTGGTGGACATTCTAACCGCCTATGCCACTTTTGCCTCTTTGTTCAGCTCCAAGAGGGACTGGGAGGGGGGCTGCTATGACTCCAAGGGAGGGGTTCCCTCGGGGCACACCACAGACCCCCTTGCGGAGGGAGAGTGGAGGCCACAGAGCACCCTCCACCTGCTTCCTGTCTGCCCACCAGAGGTTGCTCAGTGGCCTGCTCCCTGGAAGACCACGCCCACACCAGACATTTCCTGGGACAGAGCTGTGGCAAAGGAGACAACCCTCTCTCTTGGCCCATCAGGAAAGCCCAATAAGACATCCAGAGCAAGTCCAGGCTGGAGGCTGGGTGGGACAGGATGGGAGGATATGGCTGGGACCAAGATGGGCTGGAGAGGTAGTGAGCTCTCAGCTGTTCAGCCCTCAGGTCAGGAGGATTCTCATTCCTTGGACTGAAAGACAGACAGACAGACAGACCCCCACACCCCCTTCAGCCTTGCTTTCTCGGCTCCCCAGGGGCTTTCTGCCCAAGTCACTTTGGAGGAGCTGCAAGGAGGTGTGGCCACAGGCTCCGGGTCCTGGGGAAGCGGAGGCCTGGGCCCTGCCCTACATCCATACAGAAGCCTATATTTACAGGGACACCCCAATACAGACATGTACAAGTACACACCAAGCATGCACACATGCCCATAAATACACACACACACACGCACAAACATGTACCGTTCCACAGGCAGGCTCTGCATCCTGGCATCGCTGGGTGAACATCTATGGGTGCCTTGGGAGTGGGGAGTATCACCACTCCTACAACCACAGGCTCTAACTGCCCCCCAACCCTGGGCTGCAGTGAGTGGGGGCAGGAGCGGGTGCTCTTAGGAGCTCTGAATGAGAGAGTAGGATCCTAGGACTGCGTTAGTCATTCCTACACTCTCTCCCCATCCCCCTCCCTGTGTGCCAGAGACGCTCCTTGTCTCCTGTCTCCATTCTCTCCTCCTTCCTTTACTAAGAAAACTCTTAAGTTGAGGCTGGGCATGTGGCTGAAGGCTACTTTTCCCAGCTTCCCTTGCAGCTACTTGTGGCCATGTCACTAAGACCTGGCCAGTGAGATGCGATCAGAAGTGACCGAGTCATTTCTGGCTCATGCCCTTAACGGGAAAGGGCATGTGCTTCTCTTGCTGTTCTCTGCTTCCCCTGTGCTGGGATGCACATGTGATGGTGGGAACCGAAGCAACCATTCTATCCAGAAGTGGAAGGTGCATATGAAGGAAAGCAGAGCTGCCTTACTGGATGTGGACCATCGCTCTCTAGACAGTTAAGCTAGAAAAACAAGCTTGTCTTGCTTAAATTACTGTATTCTGGGGTCTCTTAATTAGAGCAGCTTAGACTCTAACCAATACATCCCCTGTCCTCAAGAGGCAAAGAGGAATGAGATGACATACAGCTGACCTTCAAGTCCCTCCTGGGCCCAGGGCAGCCCTGTGGGCCTTCCTGACTCTAGCCAGCCCCAAGGAGGGGTGCAAGGGTGATCCTACCAGAGATGGTGGGGAGCTGGGGTTGTGGGTTTCAGTGGGAAGGGGTGATGGGGAACCATCTCCTTCCCCACGCCCCCTCCCAGGCCCAACCTACTGGGCTGGCTGATGGTCTAGCCTCTGGCTCCCATCCCACCCTGAGAACTGGACTCCTCGCCTTGCCACAAGACAGCAACATAAAAAGAAAAGAAGGAATGTCAAGGCCAGATTTGGAACAAAAATAAAGACTCCCTGCACTTCTGCAGAACCCCGCCTACCCCACAGGTGCTGTCAAGCACGGAGGGGCGGGGGACGACAGACTATGGGGCAGATTTCTCAGCTCCTTCTGGCTCAGTTCTCCCAAGAACACTGCAGTTCTTCCCAGCTGGCTGCTGTTTTTCCTCCCCTCCCGCCCTGGTGTCCCCTTTTCCTCCTGGAGCCAAAAGCATCTATTTACAGAGCCCCAGGACCTCCTGGCACGTCCACTTCTCCGCTGCAGGTCCAAAGCCCCCGGAGGCCAAATGGTAGGTTTCTTCCTGGCTGGGGCTGCAGCTCCCACCTGCTGGCCCTGGGGAGCTCCTGCAGGTTCCCTTCCCCACCCTGCCCACCCTCCCTCACTACCCAGCAACCACCATGCACGCTCCACCAGCACCTCCCGGCCACAGGGCTCTTGGGAGTGCGAAGGGCTGGACTCCCCTCTCCTGATGGGGAAGGACGTTTTGTGAGCTCACAGGCCCAACCCCGATTCACGAGGGCCTGAGTAGGGAAGACTCCTCCACCTATCCACTCCCGGTCTTCTCAAGGACCAGCCAGACGGCAGAGGGAGGCAGGAAAACATCAGGAGAGGCAGCTGCCAGCCCCCGCCCTGCCCCTGTCCCTCTGAGATCACGCAGCCTTAGCCTTCAACCACATCCGATTTGCCCCTGGCGGGGGGCCTTCCCTCGGGAGCCCTGGGCCGCCGCCCACCTTCCGCCGTGCTCCTGGGCTCCTGGTAGGGGTTGTCCAACAGGTAGCGGAACTGGGCGTAGTTGCTGAGCAGGTACTTCGGGGCATACATGTGCTCACTGGGGTCGGCCGGCGGGTACTCCTGCTGCGTGCCGTCGAACCAGCCCCCGGTGCGGATCAGGCCCCGGATGTAATTGAGGTCCCGCTTGTCCTCGTAGTCGCCCCAGCGGGGGAAGTCGCCGTTCTGGGCGGACACGAGCTTGAAGTAGATGCCCTCGGGCGTGAAGCACCAGGAGCAGTGCCAGCCGGCGAAGTGCAGGGGGCTGCCGAGCGACCACTGCACCAGGATGTGGCCCGTGCGGTTCTCGTACTGCCGGAAGTTGGGCATGGTGTAGTACTGGCGGCGGCGCAGGCGGATGCCGTCCAGCCCGTACACCGTCTGCAGCATGTCCACCGTGCAGCCCGACACCACCTCCAGGGTGCCCGGCTGCTTCCAGAAGAAGCCGTACAGCGACTTGCGCATGTGGAAGGCGAACGGCTCCGTCCAGCCGTCGTACAGCTTGAGGAAGAGCACGCCGTCGCGCGCGGGGATCTCGTCGGCGTCATCGATGATGAAGACGTCGTCGGGCCGCAGGTTGCGCAGGCGCGACACGCCGTCCTGCGTCAGGAAGGTGCGCAGGTAGTCGTCGGCGATCCAGCCGTCCTGCCGCCCGCCCAGCGGGAAGTGGTCCAGGAAGACGTAGAGCACCTTGTGCCGGATGTACTCGAACGTGCCGTTGGTGAGCATCTCGCGGAACTTGAGCGGCCGCGGCTCCCCGTAGGCCGTGAAGTTGGACTCGCACACCACGAAGGCGTCCACCACGTCGCCCAGCTCGTGGAAGCGCACGTCCAGCAGGTCGAACTCGTGGTTGATGTTGATGGCGTTGATGACCCGCCGCGGCACCTCGCGGGGCACCAGGCGCTCCTTGGTGGGCAGGTTGGAGTACTGCACCACGGTGGGCACGCCGCAGCTCGGCCCGTGCCAGCCCGGGAGGCACACGCACTCCACCCACTTGCGCCGCGGGCCGCGGGCCCCCGGGCGCTCACGGGCGCTCAGCAGGTGCCGGGCCGGGCCCCGGGCGGAGGAGCCGTCGGCCCCCTCGGCCCCCTCGGCCTTCTCCTCGGGCCGCCCCGAGGAGGGCTTCTCCAGCATTTTGGTGCCTGGTTTGAAGCAGACGCCTCCCGCCTTGGTGCGGACGAAATACTCGGTGGTGTCCTCAGGCAGCACGAAGTCCATCCGGTGGAGTTCCTCGCTGGCCTTGCTTGGGGACAGCGGCTGGAGCAGGGGCGAGTGGGAGTAGAGCGGCGTTCGCAGCAGGTCGGAGCTGCCCGGCTCCGGGCTGGCCTGGGGCGTGACAGGGGCATTGTTCCAGAAGAAGCTGGACACAAGGTTCGGGCTGAGGGAGGCCAGTTCTCGGGGGAAGGTGACATAGGACAGGGTCTTAAAGAAGTGCAGGAAGGAGATGAGGCACAGGCCGGCCATACAGAACATGAGAAAGAGCTTGTAGCGTCTCATCTTCATCCTGCAGGAAGAAGGATAAAGCACACAGGTCAGGGGTCTGCAGATCTGGGTGAGGAGAGCCTGAGGCCCCTCTCCATCTTCCCTTCCATAGATCCCCATGAGTGAGGCAATATCCTTCCACATAGAACATTTTTCCCTGGCCTTTGCTGTCACCGTGTCTGTGAATGTCCTGGCTGGTGCCTGCTGCCCCTTCAGGAAGTCACCTCCTGGTCCCCAGGAGGCCAGCCTGTGAGTCCAACTTGCTGTACCAAGTACCCTGCGGTGGTGAGGCATCAAGGAAATTTCCCTCCCCGCTCAGGACCACCTGTTCCACAGCCCTTCCCCTCAGTACCAGGTCACCACACCCACCCGGCCATCTGCAGCCTGATCCTCCCCACCTGGCCTGCTTACCCTGACCAGACCAGTTTCATGGCTAGACTTTGCACCAGGAACAATGCAGCCTGGGAAAAGCCCAACTCTGCAGCCCAGAACCCGCCCCAAGGGAGGAGCAGAGTGGGCTGCAGGCGCCCTGTGTGGTTCCCCTCCCTGCCCTGCCCACGGTGCTTTCCTCTCTTTTTCTCTCCTTTTCTTTCTTTCTTTTGTGCAAGTGTTGACTAATCTTTTTTTTTTTTTTTTTTTTAAGATTTTATTTATTTGAGAGTGAGCGAGAGCTCCTGAGCAGGGGAAAGGCAGAGGGAGAAGCAGACTCCCCGCTGTGCAGGGAGCCCAATGCAGGGCTCGACCCCAGATCCCGGGGTTCCTGACCTGAGCCAAAGGTAGATGCCCAACTGACTGAGCCACCCAAGCGCCCTTAACAAATCTTTTTAATTCCTTTTCACTGAAAAAGTTCATAGGCCTCAAGGAAACACATTTAATTCCGACATATTTAAAAGAATAAGTAGGGGCACCTGGGTGGCTCAGTGGGTTAAGCCTCTGCCTTTGGCTCAAGTCCTGATCCCAGGGTCCTGGGATCGAGCCCCGAATCGGGCTCTCTGCTTAGCCGGAAGCCTGCTTCCTCCTCTCTCTCTCTGCCTGCCTAAATAAAGTCTTTAAAAATAAATAAATAAATAAAAGAGTAAGTAAAAGCTCCCCTTCGTTATCCCTTTCTAGATTGATCTCCAGGCATAAACAGTTTGATCTCTTTGAGGTGTGTTGCTGGTTTCATATGCAATATTTCTGTTCTTGATTTCCTATTTTTCATAAATATTATCATATTGGACACTAAGTACAATCAAGTTGTTTTCCTCAATCAAGGACAGATTAAAGAGATTTTCATATCAGTAGTAATAAATCCACCACTTCCTTTTAAATCCCACACCGTAATCCACAATTCTTTTGAACGAATCACTCTCTATTCATGAGTGACTCATAAGTATAACCATTCTATTCACTTACACAGTTTGATTTATCAATTAGCTTATGGCTGTGGAGTGGAAAGCTTTGTATATTGTTTTTTTACAGTTTAAGTAAACTTTCTATTGTAGAATATTCGTAGTGTATCGGGAAAGTGGCAGAGATGGTACAGAGGGTTCTTCTACACTCCTCGTCTCCCCCACGGTTAATATCTTATACCACGATAGTACATTTGTCAGAACTTGAAAACCGAAATGGCCACGTTACTATTAACTAAAGTCTCTACTTCATTCAGATGCGCTGTTTATCTCATGAATGAACATGGGGAGCAAGGACGCACTTCTGACTGCTATCGTCCAGCGCGTTTTGCCTAGAGCCTAGGCAGATGGGCCGGCGGCCTGGGAGGCTACACCCACTGGCCCAGGTAGGACCACTGACTTGGTTGGATGATCTATTGAGTCTCGGGAGGGACTAGGACAGACCCTGGCCGTTGGCATCTGGTGTTTTCATCTTCCCTTCCATAGATCCCCATGAGTGAGGCAATATCCTTCCACATAGAACATTTTTTCCCTTCAAATGTTCCTTTCTGTGGCTTCTCTTGACTTCTCTTTGGGTCGTTTGGGTGCCTTGCTACCATACTCTCCCCTCCACTTCCTAACTCAGGACAGCAGGGGAGAGTAGAAACATGAACACTTGGCTTCAAACTTCTGTGACCCTCAGCAAGGCTCCTCGCCATTCTTTTTTACTTGACAGAGAGAGAGAGAGATCACAAGTAGAGAGGCAGAGAGAGGGGGAAAGCAGGCTCCCTGCTGAGCAGAGAGCTCGACGTGGGGCTCAATCCCAGGACTCTGAGATCATGACCTGAGCCAAAGGCAGAGGCTTAACCCACTGAACCACCCAGGTGCCCCAAGGCTCCTCGCCATTCTAAACCTCAGCGTCTACACCTGTGAAATGGGTACAGCGTTCCCAGTGGGCAGCAGGTGCTCAATAAACTTCCATATTTTCAAGGCTAGAAGATTCCAACATCATTTTCTTTAAGCTATATGGTCCTAAGGCACAGAATCATGAAATGTTTGATCTAGAACAAATTTTAAGAACCACCTTTTCTGCTCTTTTAATTTTACAGAGGACGAAACCAAGACCTACAGGGCTTTAGGGACCCACTTGATATTACAAAACTGGGGCAAGAACCTGGGTGGACTCCTGTGTTCCATCCCCTTCCCAGCCTCATGTCGGTGAGGAGTCCTGAGTAAGGTGGTGAGGAACAGTGGAGTGGCCACCAAGTCCGGAGGCCAGGGTACTTGGGCTATCAGATCCGAAGGGACCCACCTCCTCCAGTGTGAATGCCCAGCCCTCCAACTGACTGCCAGCAGTCAGGCAGCACAATCCGGAGTGGGGTCTAATGTCAGCTGTCCCAGGGCAGGCGGGGTGGAGGGCACCAGTAGCCTCCACTGGCTTTTGGGAAGGCAGGACGGAGGGGCTCTCCTCGGCCACATTTGCAAGTAGGTCTTCCGGCCTCCTCTCCCTATAATGGATCCCAGCCCTCCTCTGGCAAAGTGAGACCAGGCAGACCAGGCCAGCGGGGAGAGTGGAGGGGCAAGAAGCCCGATAAAGATGGGTAGACGGGACTTCTTGCTGTGGCAGAGACCAGGCATCAGGCAACACTGCAGACGGAGGTCAGCACAGCAGAAGCCTCCAGACTGACCCACCAGAGGGCCCCGAGGACCTAGTAAAGGCAACCCTGATCCTTCTGGCAGCCCCTTTCTTCCCACCTGGAACCTGCCTCTACGGAGCACACCCCAATCCGTGGGGCTGAACTGGCCCTGACCTTGGAGGGTGGGGCCAGGCTGCCGAGCACACCCCAATCCGTGGGGCTGAACTGGCCCTGACCTTGGAGGGTGGGGCCAGGCTGCCGCTCCCACTCACTCCCCCAGCAGCAGTGGCCCTGCTGTGCGGGAAGGGCCCCCACAGCCCCATGGGGGGTCACCCTGACCCAGCTGTCCCTTGGCTTCCTGGCCAGGCTGGCTTTCAGGATCTGGTTACACCTGGCCGGATGTGCCCTTCGGAGGACAGACTCACCAGTGCCTGGGATCTCCCTTTCACTCGGGCTTTGGATAAGGCCCCAGCCTGGCTTGCTGCAGAGAATCACGGAAGTGTGTGCGCCTCCCTCACTGCTCGGGCTGTTTAGAAGACGCCGAAGCACCTGGTGGTTGGCCAGGAGCCAGTCACTGCCTCACAGACCAGATTTTCTGGGGCACCTTCACTTTCAGCTTCAGTCTTACTCCTCTGGGCCCGATCCCTTATCTTCATATATTTCAGTAAGTGCTTGAAATACTTTTTTTTGGACTGAGCAGCATCTAAGTAGGAAACTGAACAAGTGAGGCACCGGTTCCTGAGGTCTCATGCAACTCCCATCCCCGCCGGGAGGCTACGTAACCACCCATTTTACAGATAGGGAAAATGGAGACTCAGAAAGATGACAAGGCTTTTCTGAAAGGCCACCTGGACAGTTCTGTTCCTGTGTCTGCTCCTCCCTCCCCGCTTACAGCTGCGATGTAGCCCTCCAGGTGGCCCAGCTGTGGCTAAATAAATCCGTGGAGCCCAATTAGGCCCAGCTGGCAGACTTTCTACCTCCACTGTAAAGCTTCCTCGAGAACCCATCAGGTGTTAACAACAAAGCTGACGGTCACTGATGTTTACAAGCCAATGACTGTCCCGAACACATTCCACACTAGACCTCACTGAATCCTCAACACGAAGCGGGTACTGCTGTCATCCCCATCTCACAGCTAGGGACACCGAGTCCAGAAAGGTGACATAACTTGCCCAGTGTCATGTAAGTAGTAAATGTCAGACTCTGTGGGGTCCCCAGAGAGCTTTCATCCAGTGGCAAACCTGCCCTGAGCCCCTTCCATCTGCCACGCTCAACCCAATACCCACAGAGAGTCTACCGGCGGCCAGTAAAGACAGACCAGTAGATGGAACAACCACCATCACACCTGACCCACACAATACCCCCAGAGGGTGTCAGCTGACCCTTATCATCCACTCACACAGCACTACCTATCAAGAGCCCGATGTATGCCAGACACCGTGCTAGGCCTGGGTAGCCCAGGAGACAAGGCAGATGAGGACCCCCACCTCCACACAGCATACACGGCGGTGAGCGGGACCAGAGCCTGCGATCAACTAGAAATAAAGGAGTCAATGGGGTGCCTGGGTGGCTTAGTGGGTTAAGCCTCTGCCTTCGGCTCAGGTCATGATCCCAGGGTCCTGGGATCGAGCCCCGCATCAGGCTCTCTGCTCAGCAGGGAGCCTGCTTCCTCCTCTCTCTCTGCCTGCCTCTGTGCCTGCTTGTGATCTCTGTCTGTCAAATAAATAAATAAAATCTTTAAAAAAAAAAAAAAAGAAAGAAAGAAAGGAGTCAAGAAATACCATACATGAGAAAGAGTCGTGCTCCAGAAAAAGAGCTGGGGAAGGGCTAGGAGGTAGATTGGGGGTCAGTGGCAAACAGGGTGCTCAGCACAGGCCTCCCTGAGAAGACAGAGACTTGATGAAGACCAGGGGGCAGGGGAAGAAGGTTCTGGGCAGAAGGGACAGCCAGTGCTCAGGAGGGAGACAGGCAGGGTGGGCCCAGATCACGCAGAGGCTGGGGCCACGGCAGGAAAT